GGGTTACTTATTTGTCTGTCTACCCAACTAACCACTTATCTATCTATCTACCTGTTTATTTATTTATTTACCTATCTAAAAACCTATCTATCTGATTCTGACGTCTACCTTACTTGCTTTCTATCTATTATCTTACCGATTTATTTTGCGATTCATAAAGCCTGGTTCTTTCGTCATTCATTTATTTACTTATTTAAGTAAAACTGTTATTATTCTGATTTAATATTATTTATTATGTTATCTAATTATACAGCTTTTTGTTCTACTACTTTGTTTTCTTTTTTTTGTACAGTTTAAATAGATCTTCTAATTTTTGACGATTAAAGCTTCTGAAAAAAAAGCTACTGTAATTGCAAACCAAGATTTACCGATACCAAATTACAGCTATCAGTTACAGAAAGAAAGTCAGAAATAATGATAGTATCAAAACTGGTTGAAAAATCCTTTTTTTAGATCACAAAAAGCAACCTTTATAATCCTTTTTTAATGATGATTTCATTTTGTTTAGTTATTTGTTTGAATACACTTTGAATACCCTCTGCAACACTTTTTTAGCCGGAAATTTTTACTGTTATGATCAGGAAATTGAGAGAGGAGAGAGTAGGAGTAAATGGAAGGATACAGCTGTACTAAACGTTGATAGCTTAGCAATAATCATTAAAAAATATTTGGTTTAGGAGTGAATTTAGGTCCACGTCATTTCTGTCTTCAAAACTATTTGATTATACCGTCTCTTTTTTCTAGATCTATATGTATTTTTTGTTCGCATATTTATATCTCTACATGATCAAATTGATCATTGTAAAAGTGTGTTTAAATTTACTTACATCTCTATCTACTGATATATTCAACTAAACAAAGAAGTTAGATATGTAGAAATCCAATAATTGTTATTAAAGCAACACCTTTTTAATCGAAATAATCATTAGTAGGTTTTTTAAAAAAAAAGTTTTTCCAAGAAAAATGTTTTTAAATTTAAAAAAAATTGCTTTTTTTAAACACTTGGAAAATTTTTTCCTCACTTACATGCAAAAAAAAAAAAAAAAAAAGGTGCTTATTGCAGACGAAGTCCATTTAGGTGCATAGAGTGTTTACATTGAACACCATCACCGCCATTACCACCATCATCATAACCATCGCCATCATCACCAACACCAACACCAACACCATCACAACCACCAAAATCATTTACTAACCT